ATCATCACTCATCATCATCATCATCATCATTCATCATCATCATCATCATCATCATCATCATCATCATCATCATCATCATCATCATCATCATCATCATCATCATCATCATCATCATCATCATCATCATCATCATCATCATCATCATCATCATCATCATCATCATCATTAGCAGCAGTATATCAGTATGAAAGGTGATAGTAAATAAATCATTACAATAACAATTATAATCATCCTCATTATCACCACCATCATTAATGATTACATAAAAATCATACATATTTTCATAATCTTAGCTCAGAGAACAAAGATTTTGAACAAACCGTGTTAGCAGGTCAAGGGAAATTATGATTCCACATGTTCAGCATAGGCCTAGACAAATTTTGATTCCACACTTCCAACATAGGCCTAGACAAATTTTGATTCCACAACATAGGCCTAGACAATTTTGTTCCACTTCCAACATAGGCCACAAATTTGATTTCACATGTCAAAATAGGGCATAGGCCTAAACAAATTTTGACACCCAACATAGCCTAGACAAATTTGATTCCAGATTTTGAACATAGGCCTAGACAAATTTTGATTCCACATTTTCAGCATAGGCCAAGACAAATTTTGATTTCACATGTTCAAAATAGACCTAAACAATTTTTGATTCCACATTTCCAACATAGGTCCAAGCAAATTTTGATTCCACATATTCAGCATAGGCCTAACAAATTTTGATTCACACTTCCAACATAGGCCTAGACAAATTTTGATTCCACACTTCCAACATAGGCCTAGACAAATTTTGATTCCACACTTCCACAATTTTGGCCCAAGACAAATTTTCATTCCCACATTTTTCCACATTTTATAAACAAATTTTGATTCTACACCCTACATAGACCTAGACAAATTTTGATTCCAGATTTTGAACATAGGCCTAGACAAATTTCGATTCCAGATTTTCAGCATAGGCCAAGACAAATTTTGATTTCACATGTTCAAAATAGTCCTAAACATTTTTTTATTCCACATTTTCAGCATAGGCCTAAACAAATTTTGATTCTAGACCTAGACAAATTTTGATTCCAGATTTTGAACATAGGCCTAGACAAATTTTGATTCCACAATTTAAACGTAGGCCTAGATCCACTCGCTATTAACCCATAGAGTCCGAGACTTTGTAATTGGTTTGTGTTAGAGCTGAGATTATTGCGTAATCATTAGCGTGAAAAGCTTGCTAATTGCGAGGCTAAATGTCCTGAGTTTGTTTGCTGATTTTGGAAAATATTGGCTTGTTTGTTTATCTTTGTGATTTTTTTAAGGCGGGGTGGGGGGGGGTAGTGTGATGGCGTGTGTGTATGTTGTTTGTGTTTTTGTGTTTTTTTTTTGTTTGTTTGTTTACGTGTTTTTGCTTTTATTTGTGCTTTTGTTTGTTTATCTTCGTCATTTAAAGGGGAGGGGAGTGTGATGGCGTGTGTGTGTGTAGTGTATGTGTGTTTGTGTTTTTTTGTTTGTTTATGTGTGTTTTTTGCTTTTATGTGTGTTTTTGTGTGGGGGAAGTACATATATGTGTATGTATTTGTGTGCGTAGCTGTGTGCATTACTGTATTACTGTACATATGAAGGGTAGGTGTAGGGAGGACAGAATAAAGTTGTACATGAGGCAAAGAAGGATGAGGAAAGAAAAGGCAATCAAACAGAGAAGGGAGAAGTGAGCAAATACGAACCAAGATAACATCAAACAATCTACAAATCTAGAATGAAAGAGAAGAAGAAGAAAAACAACACACGAAATATGTGGATTCAGAGAGTAATTTTTTATTTTTATTTTGAAAAGGGATGAATATTGGTAAGAAAACCGGACTGTAGTATGAACAATAAGACAGCACGAAATGACAGAGCCAATACAGAAGTTTCGAGTGCAACAAAGCAATGGCAGAGTGGAGTGCAACACTTGAGAAGGAGGGGGAGGAGAATAAAGGAAGGGAAAGGGAGGAAGAAGAAGAGAGGAGGAGGAGGAGGAGGAGGAAGAAGAGAACGGGGAGGAGGAGGAGAAAGAGGAAGAGAAGGAGGAAGAAGAAGAAGAGGAGGAGAAGGAGGAGGGGGAATAAAAAGAGAAGAGGTTGGAGGAAGACGAGACCAAAAAAGGAAAGGGAGAGGAAGGAGGGAGGGAGAAGGGAAAGAGGACTTGGTTGGGGGAAACAAAGGGCACACCGCCCCCCCCTTCCCCACAATACAGACAGCGCGTGAGGGTGAAGAGCTAAGGGTGCTTGAGCCTCTTTCACTCCTGGTGGTCGAGGAGTTAGGGTGAAAGGCCAGGGGGAGAGGGGGGGGGCAGGGGAAAGCAAGGAGTGGACAAGGGGGGGGGGAGTTGTGACAGTCAGGAGGAGCAGGACAATCCCTTAAGAGGAGAGGTAGGGAGGGGGTATGGTTGGAGGAGGAGGAGGAGGGGGGGGGTAGGAAGAGGAGGCGGGTGCACGACAGAAGAATCAGGAGTCCTTCAGAGCACGAGGCAAAGGCATGACCATCCTCATTCCCTCCTTTCTCCCCTCCTTCTCCTCTCCTCCATCCCCTCCTCTTCCTCTCTTCCCCCTCTTCCTACCCCCACCCCACCCCATTGCTTTTCCCTCCTCCTTCCGTTCCTCTCTCCCCCCTTTCCATCCCTCCTCCTTCTTACATCATCTCTCTGTTTCTCTCACTGTTATCTTTTCCCTTCTTCTTCCTCCTTTTTTCTACTTCT